GGGATTGCGGCGTGACCATCCCCCCTGGGGGGTGATTTCTCGCTATCTCTATGTCTCTCTCTGTCTGTCTGGTGAGCGCATGTGCCCTATAGCGAAAAACCTCTCCAAAAAAAAAGAGAAACACACCAGGTATGTGTATGCACATGTACTAAACCCAGACAGAATGGAGAAATGAAAGAATAAGGACTGCAGAATGACCATGGCCCATTGGAGAGCATTTTCTCTCCTACCCCAACCTCTCTCTCTGGCAAGTACATGTCTTTGCTGGCAAAGAAAAATAATTGTAAGAACTTCCATATCCTCAGAACTGCTCTTGTCTCAGGTTTCTTTCTTTTCTTTCTTTCTTTTTCTTTTTCTTTTTTTTTTTTAGAGAGAGATTTTTGCTACAGGGCATGAACACTCACGGGAGAAAGAGACAGAAAATGAGAAATCACTCCCCAGGGGGGATGGCCATGCTCCAATCCCTTCTCTTTCATTCTCCTCTCAGGACTTTAGGCATGCATGCACACGCATCCATTGTGAGTTTCAAGCTGCTGGGTCTGGGACTCAAACAGCAGTCAACTATGTGGGAGTCCAGTGATGTAACCGTTATGCCATCTGCTGGTCCCTCAGGTTTCTTAATATCACCTTCGCTCCAACTACATGGCATTAAATGCTCATCCTTAAAGAGATGAGAAGGCCCAAATTACAGATTTCTAGAATGATGGAACAGGGGCAGCCTAGGTAACCCATTTCCACAAGTTCTTAATTAACATGTATTTTGTTCCCCAGCATTTCTCTAGTCATCAGCTCAGACTGGTTACTTACTTCATCCGGGAGCTCAAGGATAGTAATATTTTTTGAACGAAATGTGATTTCAAAAGTGATCACGAAGGATGCGTTTAAGGGATACCTGTGGAGACCAAGGGTCTGGTTACTGCTGAGAAGTCGGACACTGAGATCTCAACCAACCCTCTGAAGTTCATGTGGGACCTTCAGTTACCAAGCATTTAGGGGTAGGAAGTGCTTTGTGCCCAGCCCTCAGGGGTAAAGAGTGCAATTCCTGCTCTTTAGGCATCTTCTACCTTATTTTTATTTTTTATTATATTGCCTGTGAATAACAAATGAGGCATCCCCAGGCAGGCAAGACCATGGATCCCTGCCTAGGGAATGGCTCCCGAGATAGGTCAGGTATAAGCAGGGCTTTTCCTGCAGGTGAGAATCTGACTGAAGGAAGTGAGGGCGTTCTAGGCAGAGAATGAGAGGGAGCAGCATGTCTATGGAGAGCCCAGAGCACTCTGACTGGATGAGTTAGACGTGCGGGCTATGAGCAGCCCAGGAACTTTGGCATTTGAGCTTCGAGGCCTAGGTTAATTAGGAAGGCAGCAGAAAGCCAATCCAGGGTTCTGGAGAGGGGACGTGTGGTGTGAGGATGACTTGTGAGATGACTGGGTGTTGATGTACAGAGATAGCAGGAGCTGGGACAGAATGGCAGGCCCGCTGGGTGGGGTTCGGGGGAAGAAACCAAAGCTTTGGTTTGAGATCCGCCCTCTCAGGAGAAGTGAGGAAAGGGGAGGCGAGTAGAGAGAAAAGGCCAGGATTCCAGATGTTCATCTCAGGGAATCCCCTCTGCAGGGCAAGAGCAGGACCAAGTGGCAGAATGAAGAGGCGGGCTCTCTGGTGTGGTCTGGACTAGGTCGAGACTCTCGTGCCTAAATCGATGGATGCCAGCAAAGAAGACTCTCGGACCAAGGCAGAGCATGAGACAGCGTGAGCAGACCCATTGCATGCGGTCACTGCTAAAAGCAGGAAGTGCTGGCCAGCAGCTCAGCTCCCTGCCCCTTGACCTTCAGGCTCTCAAGTAGCCTTGGAAAGGACCACTTTCCAGTGTAGCATCAACTACTGGTCACGCAAGGGCTCCTCTCATGCTCTGGGAGAAGCACCCCTTCCTCTTCCTCCTAGTGGCAGCAGGGAGTCAGTGAGGGGGTCAGACCAGGACCTGGCTCTGCGGCCTGGGGCTGGCACCGTGGCGCCGGCACTGCCCCTCTTTCATTGCCTTACAGGTGAGAGGCAAGAGCACCATGTCTGAAACAGGAATGGACCGAGCTGGGGTCGGCGCTGACTGGCCCTGGGATCCGAGTGGGGCTGGTGACTTACCCCAGGGCGAGGCTAACGTTGGCTGAGCTGTCCTTTTCCAGCTTCACCACAGGAGGAACCGTGAGGCTGACAGTCGACTCTGGAAGGGTCAACGACATGAATCATTGGGTCAGATCGCTCAGGCCCATGAGGCGAAATGGGGCCCAGGGCCCCTGACATTCGAACCCATGAGCTCTGACTCACTGAAACGCCTATTCTAGCTGCAGACACACAGGGGCTTCGTTTCACTCCCTCTCCAGCTGCTGCCAGAGGGAGACTCAGGTCTGGGCAGGAAATGCGGAACCACAGTAGTTTCTCTTCCCCTCCACTGTCAGGTGCTGAGGGTCTGTGGTCAACTTACCCTGAGTTTGAGACCATGGAGCCCAAAAATGATCATGAAAGAATTCCGACCATGATCTGGGATTGTAAAAGGTGGACTCAACCTACCTCTTCTGATGGAAAGCACTGGGGTCTCCTCTGTGGAGCTAAAATGGCCCTGCAGAGCTGGTCCAGCTCCTTCCTGCGGTTTCAGAGATGTATGGGGGCCCAGCTACCCTGTTTCTAAAGAGCCCTTTGGGCTCCCTGACTAACCTATCTCAGCCCATTCACGGATCCCCTCCTTGGGGCTGACTGTGTGCTGGGGGCTGGAGGGAGAATGTGCACAGGATAGATTGTCTCACTGTCAGGGATTTCTTCTTGGCAGGAAGGTGTTAACTCAGGATAAGCGGGGTAACTAGGGTCCCAGGATGAGGGAGGAAACAGCCTTGAGTCTTAAAAGACCAGCTTGGGAGGCCAAATATCAACAGTTCAGGGCACCTTGGTCACCGAACAAGACTTTGCTAGCTCCTCTGTGACCACTCCCTGTGTTCACTGGGCATGGCCCATCCCAACTCCCAAGCGGGCTCAAAGCTCCCTGCTGCTTGGCCTTCAGGGTTAGGTACAGCCTAGAGGTTGTGATGATGAATCTAGACTGGGATGAGGAAGAGCACCCACAGGCAAGCAGGTGCTCAACTCTGATGAAGATGGTCCTTAGGGGAGAGGCTACGGGGAGGGCCCCATCTCTCTCCACCCAGACCGAACAGGCAGAGGTTAAGGAACTGAGATCTGAAATGTTTGATGGTCAAGTCAGAAAGAAATGTCAAAGTTAGCTAGTTCAACCTTCTTTGCCTGATTCCCCTTCTCAGCACTCCTACCTGGAATTTTCTCCTCCCTTCCCTGCCCATGTCCAGGTATAGAACTCATGTCCTCAAGGGATTCAGACAGCCCAAGGCTTACACTCCTGGGCCTGGCTCTGCTACCGAGGGCCTCTCAGACCTCATCTGAGTTGCTTGCTCCACACCAGCCCTTCACTAGTGAATGCAGATGGAGTTTCTGTCCCCTGAGTCTCCAAGTCCCTAGGCTGGGACTCCTACAGTCTCTGGTCTTCTGTCTCCCCTGCCTGGCTAGGTCCCCCAGAGCAGAATGTCCCCACCATGGCCATTGTAGAGGTCAAGCTTCTCAGAGCAGAGTAGGGTGGTCTCTCCATTATGTGTAGCCTGGGAACAGCCTACTACATTTTTTAAGAGATTTTTGCTATAGGGTACATGTGCTCACCAGAAAGACAGAAAGCAAGAAATCACCCCCCCCCGGGGGTGGCGGGGGGCACGGCCATGCTGCAATCCCTTCTCTTCCATTCTCCTCTTGGGATTCTGGGCACGCATGCACAAGTGCCTGGTATGAATTTCAAGCCTCCAGGTCCAGGACTTGAACCTTTGTTGGCATGTGGGAGTCCAGTGATGTAACCATTATGTCATCTGCTAGTCCCTCACCTATTAAATTTTAAGTAGAGCTGAGGACCTCACCAGATAAGCAAGTCCCAGAACAAGTCACTGCTCAGGACAAGGATTTAAAAAGTGATGCCAGACAGGGACTCTCTGGGTCCCTAGGGCTTGGTTGGGACAGTGGTCAGGGTGAGTGAGAGATCCACATGGCCTAGCTCTTCTACATTCTTTGCATTTAATTTTTTAATTTAAAAATTAAAAAAAAAATTGCATAGGGCATATGTGCTTCCAGAGAGACACAGAGAGAAAGTGAGAAAATTGCCCCAAGGGAGTGGCCATGCTGCAATCCCCCCTCTTCCATTCTCCTCTCAGGATTTTGTGGGACTCGAACTGCACCAGTGGCCATGTGGGATCCAGCCACCTCAACCACCTTGCCAGTAGCTGGCTCCCATTGTTCACATTTTAAAAGAGGAGGTTGTGGATTCTCAAAGAATGAGACCAGAGAGTGTTCATTTTCTCCTCTTGGCACCACAGAAGACAGCAGTGCTTAGCAGCTGAGCTATTTGGGTCTAAAGTTCCATCCTGACTGATAACCTCCTAGCTGCGTGCCCATAGGTAAGGTACTTTACCTCTCTGAGCCTTTATGTCCTCACCTGCAAAATGGAGAGACTAACAAGACCCATCTCACAGGGATTGTGCAGATAAAACGTAATGTTTGTAATACCCTCTCCGTGTGGCCCGAGTGTGAGATGACTGCTAGTTACTATTATTGTCACCATATAATAGCTGCAGGATATTTGTAGCCCAAGATGGGAGGCAGTTAGGAAGCTGGTATCATACCCTAGGAACCACATTTTAAAGTTTGCTCTGGGGTAAGGGTCTTTATACACTGTGTCACAATTACCAGATGAGTACCTGCTAGTCCTCTAGTTATATGATTGTACACTAGCTTCTATTACTCTTTTATAATGATAGTCAGGTGGGCTAGCCAGTAGTAAGGTGGTGGTTAAGGTGACTGGATCCTCCTTGGCTGACTGCACGGTTCCAGTTCGGGACCTGGTGGCTTGAAAACACACAGGGTACGTGTGCCAGCATGCCCTGAATCCTGAGAGAAGAACGAAGGGGGTGGGGGATCGTGATATGGCCATCCCCTTAGGCATTGCTTTCTTACCTTCTCTCTCTTTTTCTCTCTGTCTCTGGCAAGCACACACACTATAGCAAAAACTAAACTGAACTAAAATAACATTCAAGAGAGGAGGCAAAGTTATACAATGGAAGCAGGCTCCTACCTGTGCCTCAGCTTCGTTACTTTCTAGCCCTGTGATTTTAGGGAAACCGCTCCTTCCTGGGCCTCAGTTTCCCTCTGTATAACTGGAGTAGCAGCAACTAGACTTTCTGTTCTTTCCTAGGGGAGTGCATGAGCATCACTAACGCTAACTTCAACGCATGCATGTGCATGTAAAACACACGTGCACACTGCACACTTGCACACACAAAACACACTCTGGTCTTAGGCCCACAGAATATGATCTGGCAGGGTTGGAGTGGGGCTCTGGAATTTGTGTTGAGAAACACTGGGCCTGAAGGACCTTGCTTTCCTGTCTGGGAAACTGCTTATCTATAAGGTGTGTCTGCAAAGTAACAGGACAGATTGTTTCACATGCTTGAAGGGGACGATCAGATGATCACTCAGTAATCCAGAGGCAGATAACTGGATGGGCACACCACTGGGCATGGATCTCGGCACCTCTGCAGGATTTGTATTGTAAGGTCATCTGTTACCTTTTGTTGGGGATCTAAGATGTATTTAATTTTTGATAACAGCTAAACTAATGATGAAAATAATGGGCCTGGCATCCTTGGAATAGTAAACACAGGTATTCATGGATAATAATTCATTCCAGAATTATTATTGTCAGTGGGATAATTGCTAAAGTGACACAGGCCTTGAGGGGCCTGCTCTGAAGGTCAGTCCTCCTACAAGGATGAGCAAACCCTAATACCAGCCTGCGTTCTGGGTGGCCCCTAACCCTACAGGGGCTGCTGTACTGGGTTCCTCAGCCTCTCCCTAAAGGAAGGATTTTCTCAGGACCAGCAGATGGCGTAATGGTTACGTCATTGGACTCCCATGTAGTCGACTGCAGTTCAAGTCCCAGACCCGATGGCTTAAAACTCACGCAGTGTGTGTGTGTGTGTGTGTGTGTGTGTGTGCACACCCAAGATCCTGAGAGGAGAGTGGAGAAGGGACAGTGGTGTGGCCATCCCCTCTGGGGGATGATTTTTTGCTCTTTGTCTGTCTGTCTCTCTGTCTCTCCAGTGAGCATATGTACCCTATAGCAAAAAATCTCTCTCTAAAAAAAAGAAAAAAGGAAAAGTTTTCTCATCTCACAAGAAAATGCCTGGCAGACTCCTCGGGTATCTGTGCAAGGCAGAACCAGGGACAACAAGGTGGCCCCCTTATCTCCCAGGACCCACAACTCTCTCTGCCAGGTCTGCCGGGCAGAGGTGTAAGCCATTCTTTCCAGATGCTGTCTCAGACTGTTGGGGCTCTACAATCTGACTTTAAGAACTGACTATAGTGATACAGAGTAGGTAAGAGCGACCCTGGGCAGAAGGCCAATTATTTGTGGAACCATCTGGCTCTTTGGAAGACTCCTGGACCCCAGAGTGGGGCCTGCTCGACCACTGCAGTGGCCGACTGGCCACGGGGCAGCATGGTCTGGGTAGTCCAACTCCCTCGACGACAGGCAGGCCAGATGACTCACTCTGCAGCCACCATTTCCCTCTTTATGAAGTGGACGACCCATTTATAAACTTACCACATTTCTCTATGAGCTTCAGCAGAGAGAGGATAAAAATAATCAGCCAATTCCTGATCATGTTCCCCAAGTTCCGAGAACTAGGAAGAAAACAAACAGCAAGAGAAATCCGTGTTAGGGTAGAACCAGCTCAGCTCCAGGTGGCCACGACCTGCCACCTGGAACCATGGGATGGACAGCTCATAAAGGACTTCCACTTCACACCTCTGACCTCACGGGCTTTGCATCACAACCTCAGGAAAAAGGACTGCAGAAGGACCTGGCTGCCTTTGCTATGTGGGGAAACGGGCTCAGAGAAGCTGGGTGGGTTGAGTAAAGTCTCACTGAGGAAGTGAACAAAAGGCTGAAAGTTTCCCTCTTCAACTGCTTTTTTTGCAACCTAGTTAACAGAAAGAAAGAATGCAGTTATATTGACTTAGAGGTCCCCCCCTCCACCGCTGCAAAGTTATTGAAATTACGATCAGATGTTTGCCTTAGTGAGTCTGTAAGCTTTAAGGAAATGAATTTCATTTACTTCTGGGTAAGAGTCTGAGGGCTCATGGCACCAGCTGAACCCTGACTAAGACTTTTTCATCTGAGCAGTGTCACCTCTCCAGGACTGGCAGGGATCACTCACAGTGGGGACTCTGGGAGGGAGAGGCCCCAGATCAGTTGGCTGGTTTAGTGAGGGAGACAGGGTGCTGGCCACCCATGACCCCACCATGCTGCGGGTCAGGATAGGGCAGGTCAGCATGGACTTCTGTAACTTGGTCTCTACATTCCGCCGTGGTGTGTAGTACTCAGGCCTCCCGCCCTGACAGCCTCTGGGAGTTCCTGTGAACTGTGGAGAGCAGTCTGCGTGGAAACATCTCTGCTTCTACTCTAGTTTCAGTTTCCCCCAAAGCTGCCATGAGCCTCCTAACACTTCCCCTGTGCCCTTCGCAAGCAGTCCCCTTACTTGCCCCAGCCTGTCTGACCTCACTTGCATCTCCTCCATGGGTCCTGCCAGCTGCCCCCGTGTCTGATATGTCAGCTCTGGGCCCAGGAGGTTTCCCACCTAGCTTCCCTAGGGGCCTTGCCCTGGCACTGGGTCTCTGTGCTCTCTGCCCTCTGTCCTCTGGTAGCCTGTGTTAAGGGAGTGACCATGGGCCTCCCTCTCGCTCTTGCTGCTCTCGGCTCCTGCATCTGTCCTGGGCCTGCAAATTCAAGGTTTAGCTTGTTCCCAAGGGCAGAATCTAGGTTTTCCTCCAGAAAGCAGAAGCAGAATCAGGCCTAACCGGCTCTTCTCTCATGCCCCACAAGCAGACTGTGGACTGAGAAACTCAAATATTTGGTCAGCAGAAGTCCTTCTGCCTCTAAGGCTGAGACACTCTGGAGGGAAGACATCAGAACAGAAAGACAATGAGATAGGTCAACTTAAATGCTTTGTAAAAGGATCAGATTGATATTGTACACCACAACTAGTGACTTACGAAAGCAATGAGATAGAAATGGGTATTTGTACACTTTTTTTTTTTTACCACCTTTCTCCTGTGTAAGTTCTTTTTTTAAGAGAAATTTTTGCTATAGGGTGCGTGTGCGTGTGAGACAGAGACAGACAGAAAGCAAGAAATCACCCCCCAGGGGGGATAGCCATGCCACAGTCCCTTCTCTTCCATTCTCCTCTTGGGGTCTTGGGCACGCACACAGGCCCAGTGTGAGTTTTAAGCCACCAGGTCCAGGCCTTGAACTACAGTCGACTGTGCGGGAGTCCAGTGACATAACCATTCTGTCATTTGCTGGTCTCCCTCCTGTGTAAGTTCTGTCTTTTAGGCTGTGTTCAAATGTCACTTGTGTAAAGAAGTGTCTCAGACCGCCACGATGCCCTTCCAGGAGCAACCTGGGGTAGGGAGTTTCCTGTGGCAGGGAGCTCGCCCTGCCAGCTGCGTTAGCTCTGTCACCTGCTCCTCAATCTGGAACTTCTCTGGTCTTCCACTTAAAGAGTCGGCACAGAAAGTGGCAGGATTGTGTGCCCTGGAGAGAGATTACATAGATTTGAACCTGGGCTCCTCCACTTATTAGTGTGTGACCTCAGGGTGCTATGTAACCTCCCCAAGCTTCAATTTTCTAATAGGAAAACAGAGATAGTGATAGCTACCTCAGAAGATGGAAATGAGATGAGATTTAAAGTATGCATTCTGAACTGAGGTTAAAACTGGGTCTTGGGGAGGCGGGAGTGAACAATCCTGGATATTTCAAAGGTCTGTGGCCTTCCAAAGAAGCCACAGTACAGGAACAAATACAAAGTGTATCAATGGTATTACATTCTCAAGTGGGGAGGCGAATTGATGAGGATAGAAAGGTTGAGAAACAACCCACTACTGCCTAGGGCACCTGGCAAGCTACCACAAAGCACATGTTGTTATTTTCCTCTATGTTATTGAAAAGGGCAGGGCCCAGGTGTCCTTTCTTCCTCCAGTCTGAAAACCAGGAGCACAGGGTGGGGTCTCGTCCCACCAGTCCTTGGGGAGCCAGCACTCAGCACGTCAACAAGAGCTTCCTACCATGGTCCTCTCAGCGCCTTGCCTGTCCAAAGCAATCTGCAAACTCTCCAACCCAGATAAAGGCAGCTATCTAACAGGAGGCGGGAAGGGGCTCAGAACCACACTGGCCAGGGCCACCCATACCGCCCCGGCAGCTCAGTGTCCCTGCCTTGGTTCACTGCCCTCAGACCCTTTAACCTGACGGTGGGCTGTCTGGTGTCGCGAGGACGGGACTGACAGAGAATGGAACCCAGGCGAGCCTGACGAGGGCTGGATCCGCGGGAGGCTGCCCACCGATTTTGCGGGGCTGGTCTCTAGGCCTCAAAGGGAGTCCTCTCGGGAAATCGGGGAGGCTGTCGGGGCCGCGCCGGTTCTCACCTGTGAGCCTCTCAGGCTCGGCGGACGGCGACGCGGGAACCTTGCGCCAGGTACCGCTCCGGAATGCACCGAGATCCCCCGCCAGCTTGACTTGGTGTGAGGGCGGGCCGGCTGTCACCTGACCTGAGCCACCTGATTTATTGAGTCCAGATCGCGGCGCGGTGCACGCTGGGAATTGTAGTTTTCACCAGTCTCACAGGACAGAACTGGGCAGGGGCGGGGCGGCGGGAGCGGGAGCTTTGGCTGGGATAGGGGTGCGATTGCGAGAGAGGATCGAGTCACTTATAGGACCCAGAGGCTCTCGGATCTCGGTTGTGAGTGACGATTGAGCCACTTTTAGGAGCCCAGAGGGTCTCGAAGCTCCCACCGTGACCGAAGCTCCAACAGCAATCCCCTCGGCGAACCTCGATCTCGGGGGGCGTGGCCGTTCAGGTCCCGCCTTCCTCCGCCTCTCCACCTATAGTCGGATTCTGCCGCTAGGGGTCTACCAATGGGAAGACGAGAGGCCGCCATGTTGTGTGTGGCGGAAAAACCCGCAGGCGAGGCCCCGCCCCTGCCCCGTCCCGGGGTGGAGCGTATAGGAGGTAGGTCCTTTAGCCCAGAACCCAAGAGCGTGGGTGTTCGCGGCCATGGCTTCCCGGTCCGTCATTCTCGGCATCGACCTGGGCACCACGTCTGTGAAGGCTGCCTTGTTGGAGGCCGCGCCCGGTGACCCGTCTGGGTTCGTGGTACTGGCCAGCTGTGCCCGGGCGGCGCGAGCAGAGGCAGCGGCCGAGAGCGCGGCGGGCGGGGCCCCGGGGAGTGAGCCGCGCCGCCTCTAGGAGGATCCTTGACAACCCTCTTCCTCCTCTAGGGAGGCCTCTCTGATAGCCTACTCCCTCAGAGAAGTCTCTTCACTGTCCTATCCGGTCTGACCTCGCCTGCCCGGTCTCCTCCAGGGGTCCCTGCCTGCTATGGCTTTGCGGGATCTGTTAGGTCTTCTCCCAGGAGCTTTCGTGCCTGCTGCCATCACATCCCCCCTCTGCCTCCTTAGGGGTCCCCGTGCTCTCTGCCCTCCATCTGTACCCTGACGTCCTGTGTGTACGGAATGACCTCAGGCCTTTTTCCCTCCCCACTCTTGCTGCTGTCTGCCCCTCCCATCTGCCCTGTGCCCTCAAGTTCAGGATTCAGTTTGTTCCCCAGGGCAGAGTCTTGAGTTTTCTCAGGAAATCGGTTCCAGGATCGGGCCTCACCACTTTTCTCTCATTCTACGGAAGTAGAGTGTGGGCTGAGAAACTTACACACTTGGTCAGCAGAAGTCCCCTCCTCCTCCTCCAAAGGCAGAGGCACCTGGAAGGGAAGGGATTGAAAGGCTAGAAAGACACTGAGAGAGAGATCAGTTAAAAAGTTTTTAAAAAGGATCAAGTTGATAATTATGTACTGCACTTAGTGGCATATGAGAGATAGAGATGGAGGATTTCAGGACAATGGGAGATGTGGGAGGGGTCAAGGGATGTCAGTCCTTTAATTCTCTGAAAAAGGTAGCTCTGTGTTCAGTTAATTGTCCATAGAAATTAATACTAAGGAACTTTCTGTGTAACCTTGTCTGTGTCCTAGGCCTCAGCTTGTTTTCCTCTGAGTTGAAGTAGATTGCTTGTAAGACCCCATTTCAGCCACAAACTTTGATTTCCTGAACCAAGCACCATTCCTAAGAACTTCGTTTTTTATAAACTTTTGCCACATCTGTGGGACTCAGTTGTTTACAGTTCAGAATCCATCCTGCTCCAAAGCACTTCAGAGGAGGAAGGTTTCAGGGCATTTTGCATTTTTTTTTTTTTGGAGAGATTTTCACTGTAGGGTGCGTGCGCTCGCCAGACAGACAGAGAGAGACATAGAGACAGAAAGCGAGAAATCACCCCCCAGGGGGGATGGTCACGCCGCAATCCCTTCTCCTCCATTCTCCTCTCAGGATCTTGGGCACGCACGCACACGCGCCCAGCATGAGTTTTAAGCCACCGGGTCCGGGACACGAACCGCGGTCGACTACGTGGGAGTCCAGCGACATAGCCATTACGCTAACTGCTGGTTCCCAGGGCATTTTGCATTTTGATGGAGGCTTTCAAAATTCGTTTGGTTGGGGCAGCAGGGTGCGATGATTTCACTTTCATGGACTATGACATGGAGCAAGTTGGCGCTGACCCTGGGGATGAGCAGCGGAACTGGATTATAGGAAGGTGGGTCTGGGCAAATTGAGCCCCTCTTGAAAACAACTTTCCCTAACTTTTCTCCAGTGCTCAGCAGTCTGTCTTCTGCTTTCAGGCACACCCATATGCCATGCTTGACTAATGGGGAGCTTACGAGGGGTCAGGAGTCCCTTACACTGCATCCTTTATGTAGGAGCTGTGCTCTGGAACAAACAGGACGGCTAGATTTCATCTGTAGCGGTTTCTCAACCTTAGCACTGTTGACATTTGGGCTCAGAATCCTTTGTTGTGGCCAGCCATCTTGTGCATAGTAGGTTGTTTAGCAGCATCCCAGCCTCAACCCACTAGATGCCAATAACACCTACTCTCCCCTAGATGTGACAACAAACACATCTCCCCATTGCCAGATGTCCCCTAGGGCAGTGGTTCCCAATCTTTTTGGCACCAGTGACAATTGTTCCACAGATGGGGGTGGTGGTGGTTTGGGATAAGTCAAGCACATGCCTTACATTTGTGGTGCACTTCATTTCTATTGTTATTTCATTGTAACATATAATGAAATGATGACACAACTCACCATAATGCAGAATCGATGGGAGCCCTGGGCTTGTTTTCCTGCAACTAGAAGTTTCCATCTGGGGCTTCTGTGAGAATCTAATGCTGCAGTTGGATAGAGCGCAGGAGGTAATGCAAGCAATGGGGAGTGGCTGTAAATGCAGATAAAGCTTCGGCCCCAAATCACTTCTAAGTGAGAGCTACTGCGCTATAGTAATGGCCCATAGCTGGGTTCTTTGCTCATGGCCAGACTTTTCACTCAACCTAGGTCCTTTGTATGACAACGTCAAGTCTGGCAGCTTTATGGAAGATCAGGTTTTTGGATATTTGGAAATTCAAAACTAAAGGTTTTTGAGGGATACTCTGTAACCCTTTTCCAGTTGTTTATTTTTCCTCTCTGGACTTCACTTTCGTCAGCTGTTGAAGGGGACATGAGCAAGTAGGGTTGGGTGAGTTTCCAGACACTTTTCCTTCACTTCTAAGGACCTAGGATTTGATTTGGATGTCGACTGGCTAAAGTTCTGAACCAAGGATCAAGGGTCACGCCTTTCCTGTTACACTGTGGGAATGCCCTTTATGTGTCTGAGAGCTGATCCCACTCACTCCTAAGACTGGAGCTCACTACTGAACACTGCCTTCTTGTCTTCACACCCATCTGGCCTGCGTCCCTCCTCCACTGTCTCCACCCACACAACTCACCCACTCTGGGTCCATTTTAAACAGCAGCTCCTCTGTCCTGGGATGGTACACCAGCTGATGGCCATGAGGGGACTCTTGAAATCAGCACTGTCCAATAGAAATGTGTGTAATTTTCCATTTTCCTAGTAGGCAGATTAAAAGAAGTAAAAGTGGGCCAGCTAGGTGGCATGTTGGTTAGGGCAGCTGGATCCCACATGGCTGACTGCATGGTTTGAATCCTGGATGCGATGGCTTGAAAAATATGCTGGGCACATGTCTGTGCGTACCCCAGTTCCTGAGAGGATATTGGAGAAGGGTTTTCAGTGTGGTCATTTCCCCAAGGGCCTTTCTCACTTTCTTTCTTTCTCTCTTTGATGAGTGCATATTCCCTATATCAAAAAAAAAAAAAAAAAAAAAAAAAAAAGAAAAAAGAAATGGGTGAGAACCTACTTGGAAATTACTTTTTTTTTGGAGAGGTTTATGCTATAGGACATGTGCACTCACCAGCAAGAGAGAGATAGACAGAAAGCTAGAAATCACCCCCTGGGGGGATGGCCATGCCACAATCTCTTGTCCTCCATTTGCCTTTCGGGATCTTGGGCACACATGCACACGTGCCCAGTGTGAGTTTAAGCCACTGGGTCCGGGACATGAACCACAGTCGACCACATGGGAGTCCAGTGACATAGCCAATATGCCATCTGCTGGTCCCAGTGAAATAGATTCTAATGCATATTTGTCTCAATGTATCTGACACATTATTTCAGCATGCAATGATAGAAATGTATTAATGAGATAGTGTACGTTCTTTTTCTCATACTAAATCTGAATTCTGGTGTGTATTTTATCCTTACAACACATCTCAGTTCAGACTAGCTGTAAATGACTAATGACTGCCACATTAGATAGTGCAAGTCTAAACAATTGTGTCTTCCTTGCTTCCTTCTTTCTTTTCCTGTTGTTTTCTTTCTGCCTCTCTGGGGATCATGGGTAGCATGAGCCTCCTGTGTGCCTGTCTCTCACTGCCCTGCCGGTTTGGCCCTTGTCTGCCCTGCAGAATCCTTGTTAAGGTCTGAGCCGCCTCAGGAGAATGCTCTGTGCTCCTCCCTTCACTCCTTCTTCCCCCATTCCACCCCTCCTGCCTCCTTTCTGTTCCTTTGTTCATGCTTTTTAGGAGCCAAGAAATGTCCCTGAGTCCAGCAGGCTGATGGTGAATGAGGGGTTTGTTCCAAGGAGGAGACAGCGGTATTCCCTGGACAGAGCAAAGGACTCGATGATTTTGTCTTCAGATGCTTTTTCTAGACCGTGAGCTTTTTTACTCGTGATGTATTTTTTGTATTTTTCTATGCAAAAATGTGTCATGGCGTTCCTGGTGACCCAATATTTAATATTGGATGTTTCCACTTTGAAATTTACTTTTTCATCAAGAAAACAATGGTGTCGTTTGGATTGTTTACCCAAGTGACTATTTTGTAGTGGCCCTTTTGGTTTACTGTGATTTCTGACTGATTAGAGGCATTTGCTAGGATGGGATGGGACACTGGGGTCCTATTTATAGTCTCTAACAGGGACTTTATAATTTAAAAGAAGGGACCATCACAGGGCCCAGATTTCTGAGGTCTGTCACGTCATTGCCTATTTTTGAATCTGTAACTGCCACTCATTTGAATATACTGCTTGCTCCCATCTGACATTTCTTTAGCTTTAAACTGTCAGTTCATTTGCTTTTTCCCTGTTTGACTCCAAAGTGCTTTGAACTTGTGCACAGCCTGCGTTCTTTTCATATTCTTGTCTTCCAGGACCCCCTTAACTGTTACAGATATTAATGGTGTTTGATTAGATTCTACTTATTTCCTGACTTTGTCTTTTATTTATTTATTTTTAGAGATTTTTGCTAGGATGCGTGTGCTCACTGGAGAGACAGAGAAAGAGAGATTGAAAGCAAAAAATCATGCTCCAGGAAGATGGCCACACCGCAATCCCTTCTCCTCCATTTTCCTCTTGGGATTGTGGGCACACATGCACATGCTCCTGGCATGAGTTTTAAGCCACTGGGTCTGGGACTCAAACTGCAGTCGACTACATGGGAGTCCAGTGACATAACAATTATGCCATCTGCTGGTCCCTTGACTTTCTTTTTCAAGGTTATTCTGCCTAGAGAGGTCTTTAAGGAAGGAGGAAGCCAGAAGAAAAGGCTAACCAGAAAGAGATGGTGGTCCTGATGTTCTTTAATCTCTCTTCCACCTGAGGACTCTCACTACACTATCAGCCTCTCTCCCTGTAGCTGTTGTGCCCCTGTCATGAAATTCTCAAAAGACCACCAAGGAGCCGATTCTGATGCAAGCACACAAGGGTTGCTTTTATTTGAGCTCGAGCCAGGACTCAATCATCACCGACACAGCGGATCAGAGTCGAGAGCCCGGTGTTAGTTGGGCTGGATTTTTTAAGGCTATTGGTGTGGGGAGGTCGAGGGGTGCTGAGGAATGCACTCAGGCAGCTATACATTGGCTGTAGATTACAAGAAGCATAGTTGTCTTTTACTGATTGGTCTTGGGCAAGAAAGTTAATTCAGGTCTCTGGTATTTCTTTTGTTTTTCTCGTTGGTCAGCCCCAGTGGGGCAATGGTCTCATGACCTTCTCCTACGGATTGGCTTATCTCCTTAAAATGGCGACAATTCTCAGTAAGGTGGGTTTAACAAAATGGAGTCACCTGTAAAAATGGAGTCACTCTGGTCCTTCATAGCTTACACCATTGCCCCATCAATCTTTGGACAACACAGCTCTGAAGATGATCCTATCTCACTTGGAAGCCTTGGGAGCTTCCCATTATCTTTAGGAAGAGCCTTCACCCTGTGGCTGGAGGTTCCAGCCTGTCTGGTTTCCACCCTTGTCTCCCAGCACTCCCTCACACAGCCCAGCCCTGTTGGTGTTGTGCTGGACATGTTCTCTGGGCCTTGCCCACATTTCCTCTGCGGGTTTTGCTTTTGTTAGATGAACCTTTGATACTTAAGAACAAAGCAAGCAATCCCATAGAGGATTTAACAGAAGTTTATTATCGGAGAGTAACTTAACAGACCTGAGGAGGCAGAACCAGGCAGACAACAATCCACACACACATTCCTAGCTGCATAGCCTGCCCTGTCCCACAGTAAGCTGGGACTTCTTAAAGGTACAGCAAAAGAGCTGGACAACAGGGTTTTGAAAACCTGGGGATGGGGGAACAAGTCACCTGGTTGGGGACATGACTGCCCCCTCGTTCAACATTGTTAACTTTTTCCATTAACAAAGGCCAGTGGTGTCAATGCGGCACCAACCAGGGATGACAGGCATAGGGTATTATCTTAGTTAAACTGTTGTAACAACCACTCCAGGTAAGAATTTATAGGTGACTTGATGTAAAGAGAAATTCCTGCTCAGGGCTGATTAAGGTCACTTGAGCACGGGAGAGAGCAGAAGGCCCAAGATGGCATCAGTTCTCACAAAATGGAGACAGTCTGGTTTATTCGTACAGGTTTCAGAATCAGGGCCTGCCCCTCATGGCACTCAGAAAGTGTTTTCCAGATGGACGAACTGAAGCCTGAGTAAATGAAGATAGGGAGCTCCTGAGGGGAAGTCCCTGGGGCCTATCTTGGCCACACCTTTCCGGCCAGGCTTCTCCATGCTGGGTTCTCCAACTCTACCATCCTATCTACCTCGCATAAGACCCTATCTCTTTTTCTATTGATATCATGGCGCAGTGCTTTACTAAGTTCAAGCTGACCCACGGTGGAGCCTCATCTTTAGCAGCGCCTCACCTGGGAGTGGGCCCCTACCTCCCTTATTTCTACTCCAGGCCCTGCTGGGGAACCCTCAGCTCTACCTCTCATCCTGAAGCTGGAAGTGACCTTGGTAGGATGAGCTGGGCAGCCTCTACCCAGGAAATCCCTGAGGCCTGCCTCCTTTCCCTGCCTTTTCATCTGCCCCTGGCCACTGTGTTCTGTTCTGTTCTCAGGGACGGGAGCAGGATGTGAGCAAGATCATCGGAGCCCTAAATGAGTGCTTGGCTGCACTGCCCCCTCAGCAGCTCCGGAGAGTTGGGGGCATCGGAGTGTCAGGGCAGATGCATGGAGTCATGTTTTGGAAAACAGACCAAGGTATGGTGAGCCCAAGGGATGGTCTCTTCCAGAAAAGTGTGTGAAGGGCCCTCGGTGGAGGGTCAGGTTATACTGTAGTGGGGATAGCGACTTGCTTATTAGAATGAAATCACACATCCCGCTTCCTGTGCTTTAGGTATGTTCTGTCTTGTACAGATGTGTAGTGAATAAGAACTATCTACTTACATCATCCGCACAGTAGTCATTAACAGGCAGAGGGAAAAAAAAGAGCAGGTTCTCTGATTCTTCCATAGGATTCAGCAGAGAGGACCTCCCACTGCTTTCTTTTTATTTGTGTAGTGTCTCAGAACATCAGGGCTAATGACCCAGAGGTTAACTGCAGTGGTAGGAAATGTCCCATACTTCTTTTCAAAAGAAGAAACTCTTTTGAATTTGGGCATGGTTTTTGTTGTTTTCGCCATGACAGACATCTGTGGTTTTTAGGTTGCTGGCTGTATCTTTTTTACGGGCTCAGCTGCCACCCTTTATTTGGTTGCTTTGTGAAGGTCTGCACGGTGCAGAGGTGGACGGCCTGTTTGGTTTGGCCTCCAAGAAGAGAACTCAGCCAGTAAGACCACAATGAGCACTTTGCATCTCAGGCGCCCATGGCAAGGATGTCACCTGCATGATCTCATCAGTCTT